CAGATTGGGAGATTTGTCAGATTCGTCGATGGTTGCAGACGGGCGGCGTGAACCTTGTCTTAAACCTCGCGAATGCGGTCAGCTGTGTTTTTTCTAGGTAATTTTGCTGCCTATAACCAGATTCCGTCTTGCTCATTTCAACGTATGGTATGTACTGTTCTGTCATTCTAAACCAGGCATGGGCCCAGGTCCAACTGAGCTGATCGATGTGGTTGACACTGGCGCTAGTATGCACAGTATCGGTTTCTGAGCGGTTTCGCGATGATCGGTAAAATGTAGCGAAATGCCATGTATTATTCATAATGCGGTGCAATGCACAGCAAATATATTCAGGAAAGGAAATGATTCGTCTCTTTCACTAGAGCTGCGTATGTCTGTACCTGTAAGGCGCGAGAGCGAGATGAATGTTGCTCGTCACAACTTCGACCCGGCACCGGTGGCGAGGAGAAACGTCACAGTGTCATTTCTCTGTTCTCGGGAGCAAGGTTTGCGTACTTGAACTTATTTGATGAAAAAGGAACTCAACACAGGGGTGTACAACGCAACTTTATTGTTCGGAAAAAAAAATACTAACTAAATTGGATATCCTTAACCAGAAAGGTAAAAATGCAGTACATGAGACTGTAATAGTACGGCCCAAGGAGTTTCAGATTGTTTCCCGTGTTCCGATAACAATACCTCAGTGGACGCACGTTGAGGATAATCGAATGAAATATACTCACTTCTGTGGTGTGTGCCACTATGACCGTAATTGTGGGCACGAAATGTGTCTGTACCGAACAGCAGGTACGACATTGATATCTTGCGGCGATGAAAACATGCACTTGTATTTCTACCTGCACCAAGCACGGTGCACGTTGGTCGTAATCGGGAACCGAGGCCAATTTTCCCTTGATATCTAGCTACCGTTCTCGACAAACATCCAAAATAATATAAACAAAGCAGAATATTTTATTTATTAATATGATATGACATATTACAATATGATTTTGTGCGCTTCGTAGAATTTAGTGAATTTAATATCACGAAAATTTGAAACACTCATTCACATGATCTAGCAACAATTGCAACGCTCCGAATCTTTCCGAACTGTTCCGAATCGCTCGAGATTCGGCTACTCTTCCGAATCTTCCCAAATCTTCCCGTCTCTCCAGGTTCGGCTCCGAATCTCGATTCGGATAAAGATTTGTCCCATCACTAAATTCACCATCGCCCCTTTTTTGCTTGTTTTTACTTGTCCTGGCGAGCGTAGCGGATGACGTTACCAACGGTTCCTCTCGGCGCTCAGCGGCGTCCACGTGACTGGTGTAACGCGTCTGCGCAGCGCGCTTCATGGGAGCCGTCCGGCCGCCCCGCCGTGGTCTGCCGTTTCCCGCGTCACAACCGCCGTCGTCGTCTCACCGGTTGTGGTTATTGTATCTCGAAGTTTCGTCCACACTACGCACACTACGTGTGCAGACTTATGCCGCAGTTGTGCAGACGACGTCGAATGTCGTAGACACCGAAACGTAGTAAAGTGTGCGGAGCAGACGACGATTGCTCCTGGCACACGCCCGTCCCAATCCCGCCCGTCGTTTCGTAGAGGATTACGTGACGTCTCGTACGACGTGATGGCCATGTTCTTGGCGGCCCGAGGCCAATGTTGCCGGATTTAGCCGAAGTTTCGGTTTCGGTTTCGGCTCGTGTTTAAAATTAGATTTAAAAATATATATCCCATTTTTCGAGAGCAAACGACGTAGTGTCTTTTACTAGGGCTTTTTGATGCGAAATCACTCATTATCCCGAAATGTTCAGAATTGAGCGGAGTTGCCCTTTAAAGGGGTACGAAAACGAATTCCAGCGCTCATTTTTAGTTTTAATGTGTTGCATGTTGCAGCGTAACCTCAAAAATACCAGTGTTTCGTTGAAAGGCATAACAAAACTAATTTTAAAGCTAATTAAACGATCTTTCAATGTGCATCTGGTGAATGCATCTGGAGCCCATTTGGCACGTAATCTAACAAGGTTGGGGATCTTGGTACGTAGTCATGACGCACTAAGTTCCATCGGAGCAGCGCCGCTCTTTGGAATTCAATATTTTCCTTTCTTAGCTTTGCTCAACTCACAAATCGCGCATTGTACCAAAATGTTCAAGAAGACGGAAAGGGGGGACTCCCCCTTTTCTGGGACCCTTGTTTGTGTACAGGGACACAGTCATTCCCCCTAGAATATTAGCCCGTCACTAGAAATTTGGACAGAAGTTTCTGTTCCCACCCCGTTCACCCCTAAGCTCACAGTGGTGTGAAAGCTACGTGCTCCTTAGGCTAGCCACACGCTCATCACGCCACAGGTACTTCGAACGGCTCGGTTGGAACGTGTTGACGCTATTGACACCACCACAATGCTGACAACAACACCAACGGCAAAGCTCGTAACCACGCCAGCCCTGCTACGTCACGAATGCAAGAAATTTTTTTTTTCTGCTCTTGTTTGTGCCAGGTATCCCCATTACGCACCGCGCTCTCCGTTCGCTTCTCTTCGAGCGCTTGCTGGAGTGCACGGTTTGGACCGAAAATTATGGCCAGTCGTTCAAAAAACAAATGTGCGATTACCATTTACGGCAATTATCCGTCATGCTTGACTCATTTCCGAACGAAATTTGAATATTTTAATTTTCGTTTCCGTACCCCTCTAAAAGTATTTTCACCTCATGCCCTCTAAGCAAATTTCGCTGCAAAAATATGAGTTTAAAAAATGCACCATAGTACTGATTTTGTTGGAAGTTTATTACGAATACATAATAAAGGTCCCACTGTCCTTAGATTTTGCCTTGGAAGCGCTCGCTATTGTTAATAAAATGTATAACTATTACCCTTTGGACTGTTTTGAGCAAGGTTTGAGTCGATTTTTAGATTAAAAGATGAATGGTACAAAACATGTGGTAGTACGGACTAGAGCAGTTTTCTATATTAATTTTAAGACTACGACGAGAATAATTAATATGATATTTGCGTGTTTGTTTGTCTAAACAATTTCGACAGGACAGTTTTCGCTAAATTTATCTTATCTTCAGTAAGTTCAACGAGATGGCGACTCCAGCACCACTTGCCCCGCGCAAGGGCATTGTTCTTGTTTTCCATAGCTTGCACTGAGGGTGGTTAGCGGCACGCGTTGTGTGCCTCCCACCGCCAAGATAAAAGATATTGCGAAGAGTTTGTGTGCAGTCAGGCACATTATTCGGACATTTTTGCTGGGCAACGAACTCAGTGGCGCCATCTGCCCGGCACACTTCCGGTTCGCGTATTTTTTCTGATTTTGTGCTCATCATTCTTTGATCATATGAGTGGATTAAATCTGACAATACCATGCGTAGTCATTTCCAGAAGATAGAATGTATATTTGATTTCGCAAATACTGCCAAACCTGTTGTCAGGTTCAGAACCGGAAGAGGTGGGCGGCTATTTGCACACTGGCGCCTCCCCGATTCAACTCACGCGAAAAAGAGCGAATATGGTGGACTAGTCGACTACTACCTTATCGCACTCGATAATCAAATTTTTTTTCCTTCTTAAATTTTCACTTGCCTGCCTTAACTAAGAAACGGAGGCGTAGAAGTGAGAGGGGGAGCCCCTCCTTTCCCATGGGTTTTACTTTCAAACTTGATAATCTGAAATTACTCTTAATTCGAATGTTTGCAGAAATTTCTCAGATTGGGGTGAAATGTTGTAGAATGTAACACTTCGGTTCAGGATGGTGAAAATACACATCTGGGGTAACGGCAAATCTCGGGAGTCTTCGCGCCTATCCCAAGTTACACTCCGCGGCATGGGGAACTGTGGGGCTCCTCCGATGTACTCTTGGGTCAACGCGAACGTTGCGTATATCCTGGAAGCTTCACAAGTAGACCTCTCTTGTCATTGCGAGTTCAGAACTCACAAAATATAAAATGGACGCGAAGGGAGGTCATTTTTGTTTCCTTCTGCCCTCTTCCCGTTCTGAAATCTTAAAATGCTAAGCAAACTCAACTTTGTCTTTGATTTCCCGGTAATCCTTCACGCGCCGCACATCGGTTCTTTATAGTGCACCAAGCCGACAATAGGGGCGCCAGGTATTTCCGAAATGGTGTACAGCCCATCAATCACATCACTGGTGTGCACATCCCCGCACCCTTGCTCTCCCGGCATACACCATAGTTATTTCGATGAAGTCCCCTTTGGACTGAACACAAATGTATGCATTGTTTGTACAAAAATCGCTTCATTTAAGGTTTCCATCTACGTTCTGAAGTTAAGCCATCATACAGAAGTATACGGCATATGCTATAATGTTTTACAGTTACCCTATCCACTAGATTACTTAGCTCTTTGCCACCCTCATTTTTCGCTTATTATTATTAATAGTTCTATTATTATTAATATTATAATATTTCTATAACTATTTTACTATTAAAAATAATAATAATATTAATATTATTATTATTATTATTCATTGTCAGAGTTACGTAATATTGGTTACGGAAGAAGGCAGCAATAGCTTTTCAAATGCAGCACACTTGTTTTATATATGTGGCTTTTCTTTCGCAACTGAGTACAAGATCTTTGAACATGTGGCTCAGAATACTTCATCAGATAAGTTTTTGAGACACACGTTACCATACAAGTTTTACGGCAAGAGCTGGAAGAGTAAAATGCAATGCACTGAAATATTTAAGGCTTCGGACCTTTTAGTTTACCAGAAGTTGCCGCACTTTCGAGAGGTTTTCTTTCCGCAAACTACACTGCTTTTACAGCCTAACAGTTCCATTAGTTTAAGGTTATAAAACCCCAATAGTAAACAGAAGATACATCAGATCCCCCGCAACCGACCTTCCGTGACCACTGAATAACAAACACCTTGTCAATAGAGCAAGTCGTTAACATAGGGGTGTCGAAAATAGTAGCATATTTGTTAGTCCCGTCGCACACATGCGATAGCCATATGCACGACACATCCTTTCTTATGAAAGCCATTCCCAATTTCAGGTCCAGCATCAAGAAGCGGGTGTTCTCGAAGATTTGTTGGCTGAGATCGCATCGCTGAGCGTGGCTTACAAAGCTCACCTAGGGCTTCCCGCGTTCAAGAGGAGCGTGGTGCTGCCGGGATTACAGTTCAGCTCAAGCCAGATTTTCTTCGTGGCCCACTGCGCCAAGATGTGCGAGCTGAGTAAGGGCCTTGAAAAGGACCGCCTGTCTTCACACGCAAAGTGCAACGTGCCCCTCAGGCACGAAGCAAACTTTGCTCATGCTTTCAAGTGCTCCGCCGGCTCTCCCATGAATCCTGAACAGAGGTGTTCCGTGTGGTGAACAGGTCGAGGTCCGTCCAATCTTTGATGTTGTAATTTTGGAAGCAAGATCGAATATATATATATTTAACCGACTTTCGGCAACATCCGGATGACTCGGAATCGGTTACTTTGTGCAATGGTATCGTCTTAAATTGACCTGCAACTTCGGGTAGGCTACACCACAGTAATAGAACTCAAAGCACCTGGGAAGCCCATTGGCCAGTGTTCCGGTTTCGGTTTGCCAACCTCACTTGAAGACATCCCGCCACGACCAAATACAGTGCTAATATCTGACTTCCCTTAAACTTATAGTGCTGTAAGTGTTGCATGCACCAATAAGGACAGAAAGCGGAGGCACGTTTGCGTTGGTATCCCGAGGTGCAAGACTTTGAGCTCAGATAAACACTAGACAGCGGTAGCACATGGAAGAGGACGAAGTATATTGAGCCGATTTCCTGTTCCATCGTCTGATCAATGTCCTAGGTTTCCTACACTACCCGTCAGCCGGGAGGGTCATGCTGTGCGGCTGTGCACACTGGAGTGGTAGCAAATCAGCCAGAGGGATATTGGTCGAGGGCGTCCGTGCTACTACTCCTCGCTAACTATAGCCAGGTCCATACCGCCGCTGGAGGACCGTATTTTAATGGGCCTCTCACGAAGATGAATGGGTGCAATGCAAGTGAACGCTGAGTTTAGTTTCATGCGGATCGGAGATGCACTACTTCGTAAACTGGGCGGTCGAAACCGAAACCATGCCACTCCACTTTATGGACAAATGGGTCTTAAAATACAACACGCGCTGTATTGGGTGCAAGGATGTTTGTAAGTAGTCTCTTAATTTGGCTTTATGTTGAAGGTTTTTGCTTTATTGCTTGCCCTAATTATTTTTTTTTTCGTATGCTGCCTAACGTATGTATTGAAACGAATATAAATTCAACGCGATAAATTATTTTTTCTTGACACCAGAATTTATTTATTACTAGTCGCTTCGCGTGGATATAAAACAGAGATATGTGGGAACCACATGTTTAGCCAGTTGTGTAATAAATAAAACTAGTTTATCAGGGTTCTGCGCTGCTTGTAATTTCTTTCGACGATGCCGACTTTTCGTTATCATTTACTCAATACAAGAACGAAATAAAGCTCACATGTATAGACAATAATATTGGCCTTGAGCAGAAAACGAATCAATGTTGTTTTTTCCAATTTACAGTTAACATATAATGCCTTGGTACCTGCACCATTAGATTTTATTTTTGTTTAAGATTCTTTATTTTTTATTGTTTTTCTGTTCGACTGTCTCCTGCATTCACGGTATATTTTGTGCTAAAACGACAATTAGAAGGTTTTTGTGCCTCGATGATAAGCCATTAATTCTAAGGAATTTCACGATGCTATATTTGATATAAGCGTTTAGGTTATATTTGTTTGGTTTTAAAGAATCGTGCAATAGTTTTTGTCCTGTGAAGTGGAGCTTATTGTTGACCGATCTGTGGTGCTCGAAACTAACAGCATCGAGGCAGATTTTGGTTTACTGATGGGTGCTTACATCGTATTCAACATGAAGTGCCCAGACGGAGGAGCACTCACTCTTGACATTCTTCAAAGGTACTGTCTTGTCATGGTTTGCTCAGCATTATCCAAATGTTTGGGTGACGGAATTGTTGTCAGTTAAAATAGTTAGAAAACTATATCACATGAGTGCATGTTCAATTCTTCCAAATATGCAATATAGTTTTGCAGAATCAGTTTTTTTTTAATGAAGATGCACTGGCAGGCTAAAAGGTTTACATTAATTTAGTCAGAAAAATTATTTTACTGCAAGATAAGGACATTTATTGTATTAGTGTATCATGATTGCTAATAAGCGATCAGATATTGAAAAACCTCGAAATATACTGCTCGCTTCTGTTAATGCTTTCTATCTTCAGTAAAGTGAATGTAGTCAAACATATTGTATAACAATCTCTCTGTTGTGACATGACAAGAGATGAATATTGCTTTATTTCTGTGCCATTGTTTTGTTTCTGTTCATTATCCTTGAATAGTCGTAGCATGTTTGATTTCAAAGGTTTCTTCACACATCAGTCGAACACTTTGCACTCATTCTGAGGACGGTGAACATGCATACTACTCGCGGTGGTTGCAGGTTAAAAAACCAAGGTAAGCTCCTTTCACAAAGCCCTCCCTCTTTCCCGTTCTAGCAGAAAAAACGAAGGAGAGAAGACGAAGAGGGGCCCGCCTTCTCACCGGCGTTTGGCCTGTTAGAGTGTAAAGAATAGGGGATGACTTTGTGGGAGGAGCTTACCTTGGTCTCTCGACCTGTCCTTGACTACGGATGTCGAACCAACGCAGTATTGATTATTCTTATTGAGCAAGTCGATATATTTTGCGATCCACCAAACTGGCCTATTAACAGAGATAATTAGATAACTTCTTAAATATTAATTTGTGATCAAAGCATCCACGTTGTCGGGCGTGGTGAGAAACATCTCATCGTGTGGTTTCCAATAAAGTAGCGTTTCTGTGTCTTATTTTTCTCGAACTTGAAAAAAGTGCGCAGGGTTCTAAAACAATTCCACACGACAACCCGCTAGCGAACTCCGATGTTTGTGCCCATAGTACCGTATGACCTTTCCAAAGGACACGTCAAAGTGCGTGGTATTCGCCCCAAGGTTCTCACCTTCACAATAATTAATTTAGCTTTATATATTCTTCATTGTGTACTCTTGAATTGCTTATTAATACTTTCTTTCTTTTTTGACAGTTCTCAAAATGCATACACAAATAGTAAATGCAAGCATAACAAAACAAAGGCCCATCCTATTTAAAAAAGCCTTCTTATAGTTGCTTTGTTCTACACGTAAGTTCGGTTTACAGAAAGCCTGTAGCAATTTTCAAAGGATCATGTGATGATGTTTCCCGAGGCCTTGCCTTTGTTCCCCCGTCCTACATGCCGTACAGATGAGGAGGGACGTGCTTTTATTTGAGTTGCGTTTCGTAAATCGTTCGCACATGTGCCTGCCCTGGTAGCTTCCATAGTTCAAGTGCTGAGTATCCATACAAGGCTTCTGATGTCTTTAAAGTAATCAAGACATGCTTGTTGGTGTACATTACACATTGGGCAGATTATTTTCAGGGGCCTTGCCCGTGTTCTTCCGCCACGCATGCGGGTGATAAAGGACTCTCGTTGCTCTAGATCAGGGTTCTCCAAACCTCGGCCTGCGAGTCGAATCCGGCCCGCAGAGGTCTTCCAACCGGCCCGCAGCTGCCCGTGGTCCCAGTGTTGTCAGGTCTACTCATTTATCAGTAGATCTACTGATTTCGTTCCGGGTCCACTGATTCACTGAAAAAAAGGAAAATCTACTGACTTTTTTTTTCTTGAGTAAACATATTAAAATTTATTATTTGGCCCCTTCAGTTCCCAGGGTCGCCCATCAAAGGAAACTCATATTCTCCCAGAATTAAAAATGAAGCACTGGCTAGATGGCCCAGAAGCCCGTCCTATTCGAGTGACTTAGCCGTATATTCATCTATCTATTCACCCAGAGCGGGTTTGACGGTGTCATCCGGACCCATAGAGATTCCGGGCCAGAGACATATAGGGGGAGAGTTTGGCCAGATTTTGAACTCGCCGCCGTAACGTCCCTGTTCCGAGTGAGCCAATCAGCCTGCGGCGCAGAGCGAGAGGTGTGAGCGCATGCGCGTGAACTCTCGGCTGCTCCCAGCTGAACGGAGAGGGCTGCCATTTTCATTCATTCGCCCGGCGGAATGCAACGGATCGACATCCAAATTTCGGTTCTTTACTTTTATTGGCAGGCTCTGGCAAGAAAATTATATAATGTTATTTCTCGGTGGCTTAAAAAGCTAACGAATTAAGTATCTTTACGTTTGAACGCAAACTTTGAGTCAGGCGAAAAAGAAATATGCCCGTAGCCGACAATGCGTACCCTCAACAGTGCTCCGCGCCGACAGCGTTGCGTCAAAAACCTTCCATAGCTCAGAAAGGAAAAATGACAGCTTGCAGAGGACTTCCATTGGACATGCACGCACGCACTTGCCGGAACGTCTTGTTTTGGTTTCGTTTTAATATTAGCGACAAGTGAATGTCGCACTGTCACCCTCATCTGTTAATCGCGATTTCAAAGAATAATCCTCGAAGTCGCAAAACTAATCAATGCTAATAAAAAAAAACAAAAAAAACATTTGCGGTGCCATTTTATTTTGTCCTTCATAACGAATTACTCGAGAACCGGTATTTTTTTTCATTTTTATTTGTGTTTATTACCATGTTATTTGTTACTCCATACTATTTCTATGAAGTATGGTTTAATGGAAATTGCAAAACATGGCAAAACGCAGATTTCGTAGAATCTACCGATTTTTGTGCAAATCTACTGACTTTTTGGGGATCAATCTGCTGACTTTTTTTTTCTCCGTCTGGCAACACTGACTGAGCTTGGCATGGCACCCGTGCCTCGAAGCCCTCCGAGTAACAGGTAGCTCGAAGCCAGGCAACCGAGCTTGTTCTTAGCAGCGCAATTTACGACTCTTCCGTAATCATGACACGTCCGAATCACATCTGGAATTGTATGCTTGCCGTGCGAACAGACCAACTATTCATACTAACAGTACAGATGCCTATCTAGCACCGTTTTCACGTGGTAATTAATGAGTGCGTTATTCGCAGTAGATTATTCGCAGTATCAGATAACACTCTTCGCAATTTTGAAATTAAAAAAAAGAAAAAAAGAACGAGCCATCACCACGAACAACAACGCAAATTTTTATATTAGTCATATCGCTTATCAAAGTAAAGCAACTTCTCGCAGACGCAAAAGTGGCTTCTCCCTTTAGGAAAGCGCCGGACTAGAAGTGTTAAAATAAAAATTTTCTTTCTCTCTCTTCCTTTATGAACACCGACGGCAATCAGCTCTGGCCAACGTTAATTAGGTCAGTTACGAAACTGCTCATAGATGCAGCATGCACGAGCAGTACCCTCCCTCACTCACCACGACT